GTGTCGGACTTGTTTCCGGTAAGAGTTGAGCTCCACTAAGGGTTAGAGTTTGGGTTTTTTTACTGACTATGTTCATTCTGTTTATGGACGTAATTTCTAAGTACGGCCATGGTGTCAAGGGGATCCGTCTTTGTGGTTTTAGGATTACATCTCCCTTCTTTGCAGATGATTTGATCCTAATGGCTTCATCTCGTCTTGATCCGAAGATTTCGCTGGAGCAGTTTGCAGCTGAGTGGGAAGTGGCCGGGATGAAGCTTCCAAATCCAGGACCATGGTCTCTTTCCAGAGAAGGGTAGAGTGTTCATGGGGAGGGTCCTTCCCCAAAGTGGAGGAGTTCAAGTGTCTCAAGGTCTTGTACAGGAATTGGGGGAAATCGGAGCGGGAGATCAGATATTTTTTAATGGACTTTTGCACAAAGATTTTTCAATAAAACCTCACAGTCATTAACAATTAAAGAATCTATAAACATTGAATAATTCCTTTGTATATCAATCAAGCTCCTTTAGTTAATGTTTTTAAATCTAATTTGAAAACACATTTTTATTCTTTGGCCTTTAACCCTGTGAAACTGACATCGATTGATTTCACTGTTTTTTCAGATTTAATTTCATCATTTTCAGTCTGTTTTTTTTCTAATGATTTGATTTCTTTCTGTTTATAGTATTTTATGGTCTTGTCATGAGCCATAGTTATTGTCTTGTGTTTTAACTGATGTCCAACCGTGTTTTTTGTTGTGTATTTGTGTGTGTGTGTAATAAAGTAGCATTTAAGAAGTTCAACTTTAACATATGTTACATAAGAAGCAATCCTCACTAAACCTTAATGCACACCATTTGAAACAAAGTTGTACAATCTAGCTTTAGTGTGCATCCAGCTGTACTCGGGTCTTGTTTTTATTTTCAATAACTGTTTATTTGATTGAGGCCATCCTCCTAAAAATCACTTCAATTAATGTCAAATGTGTAATCAGATCTGAATGTGTTAATCTTCTATCACTCCCTTTGATTTAGATATTTTCAGTGATTTCTAGTTTCAGTTTCTGTGTCTGTCTTTATCATTTTCATTATCTCAAGCTGAATCTTTCTGTTGGTCTTTCAATCCTTTTTTTTGTCCTATTGGACAAGCTGATGAGTCATGACAAAGAAATGACAACGACAGAGTGAGACGTGATCCCCAGCTGTAAAACAGAGTGTTGACAATTACGCAAACTACCCTTTCTTTATGCTAATAAAAAGTGTCCACCGGTCCCCACTGACCAACTCGTCCAGTTTTCTCTAACCTTACTCATTGGGATCACACACGAGCCTTCGTCAGTGCAGCATTAGACGACTATTTGTGGAGCTGCTGGCTTAGCCGAGCCTGTTAACACCGAGTCCTTGTACCGCTCAGATCCCTGACACAGCAACTCCTCTCTCCCACAGAGATTAGAGGACGCGCACACCGTCGCTGGCGAGCGCCGGGCAAGTCTGCTTCAGGCCGCAGTCGCCCGGCCAACACATTGTTGCACTGAGCCCCTCATTAATTTCACATCACAGAATAACCAGAAAAAAACAGGACGAAAGCCAGCGAAAGACAAAATAGGTCAAACGGAATCTTATCGAACCCAATGGCATTATGCAAAAAAAAATGCTGCGTGTTGACTTGCATATGTAAAGTAGCCGGGAAAACAATAATATGCAAAAAAAGCGGCAATGCAAAGTAGGTCGGGAGGTTTCGGTGACTTTTGGAGTGCTTTGGCGGACATGACCGGGAGTTGGATGTCTTGTGTGATGGTGTGTGTTTGTGAGTTTCGGGGAGGAGGAGGAAGAGGAGGAGGAGGAGGAGGAGGAGCAGGCAGTGGTGGACCTGACAGCAGTCACATAGCCACTCTGCCCACAGGATGACCAGATTTAGCCGTGACACTTCCGTCTGGCCATGAATCAGTCAAGAAAATATCACGTTCAGATGGCAAATCGGAGTGTGTACGTGCACCACGGCAACAGTCAAAATGAGGACCGGTCTCTGTTTTAGATTACAGAAGCAGCACGATTTTAACAAGTGAGAACTTTTTAACGAGTCCTCAATTTTTCCTCCACATTTCAAAAGGCTGCGTCAGAGTTACAATTTGGTTTTAAGTTTGAGGTTTGGATTAGCATACATTAGGGTAAGAGAGGTTTATAATTAGCATTTCTCATGGTTAGGTTCAGGGCTAAGGAATGCATTGTGCAAGTGAAAATCATTACCAGATTCATGACCTCATTGATGGGGTTTTTTAGTAGCAGAGGGAAATATGGCATGACTTTGCATCAGCATCCAGAGAAACATGTTCTGACAAGTCTGGGGGGAGTTGAAAGACCACCAAAAAAGAAAAGAATATAACCAATATATTCTGCAATTGTTCCAATACTCATACTAAGATACAAAATAAGACGGAGTCCTCCAAATATTCACGGTCAGACATAAAGAAATAGGATCATTGCTTCAAGATAAGCTAAATGTTTAAAGGTAAGAAGCTCAGCAGCATTTTAACCAGCAGCTTTACACCTCAGAAAACAGATGTTGAGCACAGGAAGCAATAAAACTATCAAGTTGTTAATGGAAGTGGCTAAATTGCCAGGCAATCTGTTGACCAGACTCTGAAATGAAGTTTCATGGTTCAATCACTTGAAGCTTTAAATTGACAACAAACCAGCAGACATATGCTTCTTTTCGATGGGTTACGCAAGCCGCTATATAGAAAAATGTCAATTTTAACTGTATAAAGAAATAGATTAGTACTGAAATTGTTTGTACTCACATATATGTATGTTATATGACTATGTGAGCATGCAGTGTTTATTATATTAATAGTTACTGATTTAGGCATTGCACATGGTGCTGTTAAAGCTAATAAGCCAGTGTGGAGGTACACTAAAAAGCCGTGCGATGCATTCTTTTATTTAAGTCTTTCTTGCGTTACTTGTTTACATGAGCAAAAAATGAGTAAATATTTACAATTTTTCAAAATGGCTGCTTGTTTGGTATTTTACGGTGCATGCCATAGCTAGTGTTGCCAAATATTTATGAGGGAATGTAGCTCAAAAAGATGCACAATGTCACTAAATGACAGTAGCCTACATTTGTTTATTCATCATATTGTCTTTTATTAACATTTACTCACTTGTGTTTTGTATAGTATAAGCCAGCATTTCGTCGTTTTATTACTGCTTCTGATGGTCACATCTATTTATGCTTAGTAAGGTTGAATTAAAACCTGGTTCCATTCGCATGTGGTTCAATTTCTGTTTTCAGACAGCAAATATCTAATGAGAGCAGGCTAAAATGCTACATTTTTAGGTTTAGTATTCAGGAAAGCGTTGCAAGGCTGCTGTTCTGCCAATAACATCTTCATTTAATACGAGCATTTTGTTCTGACTAAACCCCAACCCACTTTAAAGGCTGCAGCTTTGTTTTGACTGTGGCCTCATTCACATTTACTCAGAGAGAAATTTGATTTGCTAAATTAATTTGACTGCAAAGCCCAAAAAATGACCCTACCATGACTAGGCAATATAAGAAACTTTCTATACAAAGTTTGTCTATAGTTTTATTACAGGTTTGTCTTAAGTTCGTAGATTTGTTACTCTTTAAAGATAGAGATACAATTTTATTTCATTTTTCCTTTTTATACCAAGAGCAGGATATTGAACTTTAAGATCTTGAAAAGGATATGCTTGAGCACAAGTTCTTTTAAAAAAATCCTGAAATCATATCTGTACGATTTCATAGCTTAACTTGTAAAATAAGCTTTCAAAAATGTAAATGTTTTTAAACCTGTGACTGATAGTATTTCCTTGATCCAAAACAAGCATTTGAGACTATTGCACTTGCATAAGAGCACGTGCTTTTATTCAACTTCCTGACTCAATAGTCCTAACTGATGCTCAGTGTGACACCAATGTGGAATGACTCATGAATGAGTGGGAGAGCAATAACAAAGGTGCATCCTGTTATGTCCAGATTAACTCCCTATATGGAATATGAAATCATATCAAGAAGAGCCAAATCTGCATTTTTCCCCCTCACCCAGGAGTGAATTTATTGGTCCAGCAAATGCAAAATATCAACTGTACAACTGTGCAGTCATCAGGTAGGGGTGCCTGTTGCTCCTTCCATTCATTCAAAACTATACATAAAGAATTCAAAAGAAAAACAAAGAAAGAAAAAAAGTTTACAAAAAAAAAATCTAAGTTTAACAAAATCTTAAGAACGAAGCTTACTCGCTTGCTTCTCAGACATCCCATCCCAAAACACAAGTACAAAAAGACTTCAGTCATTTCTCATTTGTCGACACTTAAACGATATATACACTAACATTTACAAAGATATTCACAGCACACAGTAGTAAAAATATAGGTGCTTTCTTTTGTGCGTAGCAGACAATGACAGCAAAATTAAAATACGTTTAAAGACGTTAGTTCTTCATCTGTCAAGAGAACCTGCTTCACTGAAAACTGCAACTAAAGATAAAAACATCCAGACTGAAACAAAACAAATGATATGTACAGTTATTAGGTGAAATGTGTCTCTCCTCGAGCAATTAAGTACAGAGAAACTGAGAGAAGCTGCTTTGGGCTTGCGAAACAAGCACTACAGGCACTAAGGCAAAAAATAAATAATCACTGCCTTTAACATGAACAGGACATGATAAACACACGGTGCCAGAAAAAAGAAGAAAAAAAAAAAAAGCTGTGCAAAATGCTGCGCTGTCTGTAGCAAGTCGGCATCCAAGAGTCAAACTGTGATGTGCTTCGTTTTTTAAAAAAAAACAAAAAAAACAGGCTCTTACAGCAAGAGCTAAACAACTCTTTTTGACCATGAACAATGAATGAAAAACAGACTAAAATGAAAGTTTTCTATAGGCATGAGACTGAGAACTTTGGTCAGTAAAAAGAATGGAGGAAATTCCATAGAGCTAACTGACAGAGGTACCAACTAGATGGAGACAATATTTTGAAAAGGTTAGGGGACAATAATAATAATAAAATAAAGATTGGGAGGAAAAAAAAATAATTTGGAAAGAAAAAAAATAAAATAAAATAAACCCCACGTACAAGTACCCGTGTTCTTTGCTCCCAAAATAACAAAAACAACAACAACATTGGTTTTAAATTCAGTCTTCAGAACACCTCCATGTCATTTTCAGTGAGGGATCCGCTTCTTGAGCTTCGCGGGGCTAGTCCCGCCTCGTCACAGGCAGGGGTGCAGGATCTCGTGGCAACCAGAGGGGCTTCTCAGGTTCTGCAAACACGTGGGAAAAAAAAAATAAATAAAATAAGATAAGGTTAGATACCTCCAACCCCAAGTCCTCCACCGTGCCTGCCCTCTGTAGCAGATCAGCGCAACAAGAAGCCCGCTTACTTTTAGAAATACCCCGGGGGCCGGAGCCTTAAATGGTGTGTAATCCCTAAACCACACGTTACATCACCCTGGCTGCTGTCCCACCGAGCCCAAACTTTCTCGGCTATTCTTGGCGGGCGTGAAAACTTGCACTTGGTACATGAAGGGTGTGTGTAAACGGTTAGCCGCAAACACTCTATCCTTTTGTTAATCAGCGGCAGTCTCTGAGGTGGCAGCTGAACCAGCTCAAACTAGCCCGGCCGACTCATACTGGGCGGGGGAGCGGGAAGCGGTCATTCGGGGGGGGCGATGCAACCAGCAGCTCGTCTTAGAAAGCGACGGTCAGCACTACGTTTGCCCAGGCTGTTAGATGTTTTAGGGGTCGGATTCAATCTGCGGCGGATCAGGGTTAGGAAGCAACTAGAAAAGCCTCTCTGCGGTGGGTTTTTACCTTTGAAAGACTAGGAGCGAAACCACCCTTAGATAGTTGAAGAGGGTTCGTCTTTAAGCAGCACAACACAAACCAAAACACGGTCACTCAGCATGAATCAGCTTTTATGCAACACGTGCGTTTCAGTCCAGTCAACACACAGGAATCACAAGAATGCAACACGAAGAGGGGGAAGAGGGGGGTCCCAAGGACGACTAATGGTTTTCTTTTCCCATCGCTTCCAGGAACATGGTTCCAAATTTAGAACAAAAGATCATTTCCCAAACCCACAAATTTGGATTAGCCCAGACTAACTCTTGGGGGAAAAAAAAAATTAATTAAAAAAATGTTTAAAGAACATGGGAAGTTTGCACATCCCCACAGAATAAAGAATTGTTTTTCCATTTCTCAAGTCCAGGAAGTCCGGGAAAAGAAAATAAACAATAAAAATGTGGCGACAAGGAGAATGTTGGACGGATGAGATTGACACAGCAAAGACAGCCAAAGATCCTGAGAAGACCAGATACTTACAGGCAAACTTTGCCCAGCCAGTGCTGTGAGGGGGCAGAGGTGGCAGCGGAGGAAAAGAGGATGACAAACAAGTGAGTGAACACATGCAGAGGAAACAGATGCAGGAAATGCCGTGTCATGATGTCCTAAAAAGCTGCCGGAGAAACGACGCCACGGGTCATTCCACAGACACCACCCCACCCCCCTCTCTCATAATGCCTGGAGACGTCTGAAGCTTGGTGAAAAAAGACAAACAAAACTCACCTGTCCAGTCAGGGTGAGGCGTGAGGAGTTGCAGAGGGCCAGGGAGGCCACAGAGTTTGGCAGCTCGTGGACCGGAGCCTCGTCCAGGTCGTCGATGCGCGGCTTCTTGATGTTGCACTCGGGGCTGGTCAGAGGAGTCACGCTGTTCCTCCGGATCAAAGTGCCCGGGCCCCTCTTGACCTCCTGCAGGTGGTGGACAAAAAAATTACACACAGGATGTCAGACACTCTGAAGTCGGACGGCGCGCGGCCCCCCGCGGCATTTCCTCTCGGGGCTCACCTCAGGCCGGTCCCTGTGGGTGTTCACAGCCTCCACGTTCAGCGAGATGGACTCCACTTTGCAGCCGTAGGCCACCGGGGTCAGCTTCAGCACCGTGTGGAGGGGACACTTCAGGTAGGGCATCTCGTCTGGAACGAGCAAACCACACTTAATGCCTCTGGGTCCTTGAAACCGGACGGGGTGGGTGGGGGCTTGTGGGAGTTGGAGTACCCACCTGCACTCTTGTCCAGAAAGTAAGCCAGCAGGCAGCGCATGACGGCCTGGTGGCAGATGACCAGCACGTTCTCCTGCCTCTCCAGCTCCATGATGACGGGCTCCACCCGCTGGACCAGGTCCTGGTAGGACTGCGGGGGGCATGACAGGGAGGTTAGGGACAGCACTGGGATGCGACCCAAACTTTTTTTTCTTTTTTTTTTCTGTTTTCGTTTTAAAACCAATTTCGTCAAATGGCATCCTTGTGTACCTCTCCAGCTGGGTAGCGGTAGTAGTATTTGTCTTCATCCCTCAGTGCAAACTCCTCCGGGAACTTCTCCTTCACCTCGTCATACGTCATCTCCTCACACACACCCTGAATAGAGCACAGAGCAAACCAATCAGACTAAAACAATTTTTTTTTTTTTTAAATAATACAACATTGGTATCAGAGTGCTTGAGCCACATTGTTTTACAGTGATTTGTTCCCCTTTTACTTTTGTTGTGGGGCAATAAATGTGGCATAAAAGGGCTACTTGTGACCACCCCCCAAAAGAAGAGCATCCCCTCCTGGGGAACCGATTGGCGCGACGGGGCCCTGGGGGGGGGTGACACTTACCGCATCTATCTCGTTCAGCGCCTTCCACTGCTCGTAGGGCAGGCCCAGCTGCTCCACCGTCTGGATGCTGCGGCACAGCTGGCTGGTCCACACCTTCAGGTCCTTCAGCTGCTGCTCCTCCACGAACCGCGCCAGGGCCACCGAGAACTGCAGCCACAGGGGACCGGGTTCAGCACCCAGCCGGGACTCGGCGGACCCGATAGCGGTTTTACGAGGCCGGCATCCCCCCCCGTACCTGACGGCCCCGCGGCGAAAGGCCCGAGTCGCCCCCGAGCCGGCCCTCCAGGTTGTCGGCGCTCTCCCCGTGGCGGCACAGGTAGATGGTGCGCGGCTGGACGTGGATGTTCATCAGGTAGTAGACGATTTTGCTCTGGATGTGATCCTGGATGCGGTTGACGAGGAAGCGGCGCCCCACGTCAATCACCTTGATGAAGGAGAGGTCCCTGGAAGGAGGCGGCAGACGGGCAGTGATTAATCTGGATCCGACTAATCCGAGATTTTAGGGCGGGCGCCGACAAGAGGGGATCCGCAAACCCACCTGTCGTGCTCATCTGGGTCCAGAGGTTGGTAGCTGGTTCTGTAACACTCGATTCTCTTCTGGAAATCCACCATGGCGTCCACCTTGTTGCAGTCGCGGTAGTCGGGACAGGACACCTTCACCTCCTGCACAGGAACGCAAATCAATCAGACGGCAGATAACGGCCCCGATGCCAGACAGACATGGCCGTTTATGGTAGCAGGAGGAGGAGGCGTTAGGTCGCGTGTCTCACCATGATGTTTGACGCTATCACACTGGGGTCGTCGCACACGGACTCGATGAAAAAGATCTTTGAAAGAAGAGGACATCACTGGAGTGAGCGGGTCTGGTACCGACATCGAGCATTACGCCTCCTTGCTCGCCCTTACAAACACGTACCTTGAAATCGTGCTCGCTGCCAAACTTGAGGATCAAGTTCCTCCTGTCTCTTGTCGTGTTGGTGGCATCAAAGACCTGAGAGAAGCATCAGGCTTAGTGAGGCATGTCCCATGTGAGGACGGGATCTCAGGGGGGAGGAGGGCGGGGGGACTCACCGCTACTTGGCCTCCTTCGTCCATCAGGTACGACTTGACGTCCCTCAAGGCTGCTAAGGCACACTGCCTGAAGACCAAAGATTGATGGAGACGAGGATCAATTTAGGCTAATAAACAACAAAAACTGTTCTGTAGCAATCCGTGTGGTGAAACTTACTCCCTAATTTGAACAGCACATTCGTTATCAGGTTTGAAGAAGTCATAGGAGCTGTAGTTCTTTACCGCCTCCCTGCGGTATTCTCCTACGTTGAAGACTACAACACACACACACACACACACAGAGAAAGCAAAGTAAGAACACCATGTCCTGGGGTCAGAAACTCGAGTTGACGCCGTCTGGCATAACACTTTACTGGGCCTGTCAGCATGTAACCGATAAGCAGCACAAACTGTACCAGCGTGTGAACACATGTTGGCTATTAAGTGTACCTTTGGTGGGCATGCCGATCCAGTTGAGGTAGCGGGTGAGTTTCTTGGACATGTACGTCTTCCCCCGGGCCGGCAGCCCCACCATCACAATGACGGTGGGGGGGTTGGCGAAGTGGGGGGCGCCACCTCCTGCAGGGGGAAGGAAGACAAGTCAGGACAACTGTGCCAGTTTAAAAATCAAGCCGCAAGAAGAATGTTCTGCAGAGTAGGACCTGGCCGTGTTCAGACCTATCCAAACCGTACTGCAACAAGCGGTTGTAAAATTAGGCGGAACTCATCCGAGTCGATCACAAACTATGGGCTCCATTTCTCTCCATGGCGACACACGATCGGCTAGCACGTGGCTGCCTGTTGCCACCAGATTGACCTTTTATTGCCACCCTACTGAACATCTGACCCAATTTTGAGAGCGGGATCTGCCCTCCACAAACCAGTAGCCATTTTCATTTTGGCCACCTATGTACTGTGCAGTAATCCCACATGCCGTTTCATCTTGTCTAGCAGGTAGTGATGGCCTAGGTATGCAGAGCAGTGATTCTACAGGTATAAGATCTTTCTCTCATCCTTTTTGTCCCCCCTTCCCCTCTGCCCATTAAGAGACGCTTTAACCAACAGGCAATTGGCCTGCCTTTCCATCTGGGCTGTGGTAACCATTAGCCAAGTCATTCATGGTCTAATAACCCCCCCGAAGAGCTTCAACCTGCACATCCTCGCAATGCTGACAATCCCGTTTCCACAACACCAGAGCCAGGATGCGTAAACGGAAAGACGGATCAAACTAAGTGGATGTTCAAGCAACTGATTCATCGTGCCTGAGCCTGTCGTACGTCCAATTCACGAAAACCCATTAGTACTCCAACAAATGGGGCAGGCCAGATTTTTCCCCCCCACCAGCTCTTGTCCACTGGCACAAAAAAAATGTAAATAAGTAAATTAAAAAAAAGCAAGATTGGGACTTTTTAAAAAATGTTTATACATTTAAAAACTTTTAAAATCTTATTTGTTAATGTTGTCATTTTTCTACTGCCCAAATAACTGCACCAAAAAAAGAATAATAATGTATATATATTTTTAAAGAGGCACTAACAAGATTGGACACAAACTCGTGAATTCTTCCTTTCCTGTTCCATTTTAAGCCCGCGCACATACGTCAACGGTCTTTTCCTTAATTAGCAGTTAATTGACTTCCGGCCTCCTTAACTTCAAATGAAGATACACAAAACCCCGTAGAAAGAGAAAGTTTTTTTTTTTTTTGGTTGTTTTTTAAAATTATTATTGAATCTCCCATATTGAATATCGTCTTTGAAAGGCGACGCCCATCACCCCGGTCACATTCCTCTCTTAATTTGCGGCAGTCTATTCATTGCGGAGCCAAAGATCACGCTCGCTCACAGCGAAAGACCCGACCAGCCAATGGGACCCCGCAGGCGTCATATTCAGGAACCGGGTTGGGGGGGGTGTACTACCGTTACTATGGTGAGAGGCTCTTCTTCAATGCTCCAGTTAAGGGGGGGAGGTGACGTATTCCATGTGCTGATGGAGACCACCAATGAACGGCTTGGAATTGAAAAAGCCGGTATAGCAGGTTATAAGCAGGTGGACTGAATATTTCTAAATTAAAACGTAGCTGAATTAATAAAAATAGAGATTTTGACCCACGTGTTTTAACCCCAACAGCGTAATTCTTAATATTAAATATTTTGGACCGGCACACTAGCTAAGAATTCTTACAATTGGAACCGTTGCGTGGTGGGGTAGCGGCGACGACAGACCAGAACATCGTCGAAATGATGGCGTTTTTACCTCTTCGCTTGTCATCCTTGGTGGCAACCCAGATCTTTTGGATCCTGTTCTGAGTGAGCTCTCTGGGCATTCCTTAGAGGCTTGAAAGAGCACGAAAGAGAAGGAAGTCGAACCGCCGAGATTCCGCAGTGGAGAAAAAAAAAAGGAAATAAAAATAGACGGTTAAAAAGAGCCGGGAGTGGTAGTCTGAGCCGAACACTTCTTCTTCGAATGTTCAAATGCCGTTTTTCGCCGTGTGCTATTTGCTAGTCGAGCCGGGTTAATCTGCCGGTCTGCGGCACACATCCGCTATTTAACCACGCCCGCTTGGCCGAGGAGCCACGTGATTGCTCTGACAAGGCACCACGCGCGCATGGAGGCGAACACCGAGATGACGCAGCGGAGCGCGCGCGCGCAGGCTCATGCTTCCTCAGCGCCACACTGTGGTAAACGTTATTATTATAATTTTTTTTTTTAACCATTTTAAATATGAACCACTCATAACGTTTTTTAAACCCCAAAATTAGTATTGAGAAAGATAACAAAGCCGTTAAAATGAGTGGTGACATCGTGTATTTTCAACGGTTCACTTGTATTTTTCATATTTCAAGGGCATAAACTTTTAATGATAGAAAAATAAAATTCCGCCTCTAACGTTTTTTTCCTTCACGTGAATGTAATTTTTTGCTTGTGTTTTTAGCTTTCTTTCTGAACTATTTTTACTGTTTTTTTTCTGGCACAAATCCTGTCGTGGTATGAACAATATCTATTATTCTACATATAAATGTGTATATATTTATTTCACTGTGGCTGTTTTTTTCTCATTGAAAATTTGAGAAATAGAATCATTCATGTGATGTGTTTTACACCATCCCGCAACATTGAAAAGTCCCCTCTTTCTTTATTCACTTTCAAATGGAACCTTAGTGGATACGTGCTGCGCCGCACATCAGCCCATTCCCGCTTCCCCACACTGGACTGTACCATTTAGTCAACCCTGGTTACAATTACACACCCTACAGGCATTTGTAATACATTTCCAGGCAGTTTTAAAAAAAATCATTTAAAAATCACTTTCATATAAATATTTTTCACAATTATATGAATAGGGGGAAACGCCCCTCTTGCAACATAAGAAAATGAATAAAAAAAATGTGTCTGAGGTCGAGTTAACTGTGATACAATTTGAACGACGGCGATGTATTTAATTCCTGTGGGAAATTAGGACTATTTCTGTATTTATCTAAAGCAACACATCACGGTGCGTGGACGTTTCTTCCAACTTGTGTGTTCTTGTATTTTTTCTTGTATTTTCTTCCATGCTGTCTCTCTTCATCCTCATGAACTCACTGACCCTGTTTTTTCTCTTTTATACCCTTCAGTTCATTGCGGCAAATTACACCAGCATCAGAGGTCTCATCATCTGATCTCACACATTAAATACTCTCAGATATAAAAATGCTTAGCCAGATTTTTTCATAAACTGATTATTATTGGTATTTTATCTTAAACAACCTGTTTACATCTTTCTAAAACAAAAATTTCAGTGGAATATGATCTAAATACCTTGTGTGTCAGTTCTTGTACATTACAACATTACTAATTGTGTTGTAGTTATATTGTCAAATATATGTGATGCATATATAGAATGTATACATCACATGCAACTACAAATCGCTGGTTTTAATCCAGGTTTTGATGTCCAGATCTGATGAAAAATCCACAAATTAATCGACAAATCATTTTTCTGATCTTCAGCTAAATCACGACTTGATAAATTATGCTTAAAATGTCCTATTTTCCATTGTGTTTACCCACACCTTAGCAGTAACTCGCAGCTCAGTTTGGGTAAAGTGTAGGAATCTCTTTGACAAATGACATTTCCAAAGAAACTCTCTATCAAGGTTAGGAGATAAAAATGTTGGTGTGATTGGCAAATGGAAGCAGTTAAAGGCAGCTTACAGCTTATTAAAAGGGCTTCAAGTTGAGGGGAGAGAGCTTCATTGGAATTTCACTTGAATGATGATATGTAAATTAAGAACTCTAGTAATTTTTTATAACAATTCTTAGTTTTTCATAATATATCAATTAAACTTTTCACTCCTCAGCTTCTTCTTGATATTTTGCCCCTTAAGCGACCTCAGGAGTTGCAATTCTTGTGCCATCTTGGCAACTATTGCATCAGTTGGTTGTTTCAGTCGTGTTTTACTTTTTGGTGTAAGGAATACTTAATAAGATGCTGATTTTACTTCTTATATGACATTTTCAAAATCATGACGTTTCCTTATTCATTTGGATTAAACGGTTTTAAACAATGTCAGGTCATATTTTCTATTCAAAGCTATCTGAATCTTTCAGGTAGAGAAACTTCTATTGTGACACTTTTGAATGCAACACTTTGCATTAATAAGTTTCACAAGATACCTAAGATTTTTTTTTTTTTTAGCAAATTGTGTTTTTATTCTCAATTCTAAAATTGCACATGTGGCAAGTTAAATCTCTGTAAGGAAAACCCTCTCTTTTTTCAGACTTTCATACAGGCAATGATTAAGGGTTATTCCTGATTTAGTAAAAAAAAAAAAAAAAAAGGGATTTAAATGCTGAGTTATTCAGCCTTTCCGAAGCACATCGGAAGACTGGATGGCTCGAAGAAAAAAAATCTTTTGTTGACCACGAGGAACGACACATTGTGACCAGATGAATCACGAAAGGCATGACAGAAGTAAGAAATAGGTTTATGTGGTTGATTGTCCTGTCTGCTGTTCTTTTCTGACCACAAACGAAACCCCAAAACCTTTTCTTTCAGTTTACAGGAACAGTGGAATGCAAGGACCCCTGAAATATTTCATCACCGAATACCTGATTGGTGACACCATTCAGCAACACGAGATTCCTAGAACCAACTGTTCTTGGAATGTTTCACAGGTCTGAAGTGAAATGACGCAGACGAGAAAAAGAAAAAGCACGGAACGTCTTGTCTTAATATAAAATCCTGTTAATCATTTGCCTTTCTCAAACTTCGAATTTTCCCAGACAGAAGATAAACATTATGAAACCCACAAAGCCCAAATTTACACGACACAAGCTCATGTGTCAAGCTCATAATTCATTCATTTCATGTACGCATTGACCTGTATGAGAAGGTGAATCATCCACAGGTTAAATAACTCCAACAGGAACTTTGTTTTAGATAAAAACATCCTGTTCTTATTTACTCCTGACATTTTCTCCTACATACGACGTCATTAGCTCCACCACAACCTTTGATTTTGTCGCTCTTTTGTTTTTGCCAGCTGTCCACCAGTATCTGACACCTAGATGCAAGCATTCCCTCAACTCTGAGTGCTTTCAACATCTGTTGTGAAAAAAGTCTCTTTTCCCACCAGGATTGTTGCCTTTTTAAAAATAAAAAAAGCAAGTATGAATCCTTTCCTTGATGAAATGACTATACATCAAAGTGACATATGCAAGCTAATAAAACATTTCACTGACCATTTTCATTAGGCCAAATTAAGGTTGGTTTCCTTTTAAAGGTATTAAAATCATAAATAATGGATTCCAAGTATTTTCCACTGCTATTAGAAAGTGAATGTGCAAATCTGAGTTGATGAAAACGTAAATAAAGAAACATTTTGCTCAAAAAACATAAAAGAAAAATGCTAAAGATGTTTTTGACAACTGAAAAAGAAGATATAATTGAAGAATACATACTTTTTTTTTTTCTTCAGAGGACCGAGTACTCTGAAGCATGGTAGTGGAAGTGTTATGGTGTGAAGTCGCCAAAAGAAAGGCTGGGTTAAAAGGAAGAGATGGATGGGAAGGAGGTGGTAATAAAAAAGCCTGGCGATGAATCCCGCTGTCATGTTGAACTTTGATTTGAAGTTCGTAGAATACACATCGATCATCCTGAAACTAAAACCAGGAACCTATGGAAGCGTTTCTGTACCATAGTTCAAATTGAAAAGCATTAACAGAAATGCTTCCTCACTATGGAAGCGTTGAATGCTTTTTAATTTGAATTATGGTACATAAAACAATCACATAGGAGCTAGGCATACAATTTATTATTAAAAGTTAAATGAGGGATTTGAGGATTTTATGGCAACAGGGTATGTTTCCTGATTAAACAGAAGAGACTCCCATTTATTTGAATGACCTCTTAATAAATCGCAGACAGAACAGAACAAAGTTTTATCTCTAAGGAAGAGCCCGGCCACCCGGAGAGGACCCATTTCACCTGCTCGATCTGGATTACCCTTTCACCCACCATGACCTAACCACAGGTGAGCGTTTGAAAGTTTATCGACCAGTAAATAGAGAGCTTTGCAGGACCTCATTCCCGTAGATCTTTATGTTGTCTTGATCCAACATGTTCTTTTTTTAAAATCATCAGTAGATGGGGTCAAAGCTGGGGCCTGTTTTGTCGTAGACCAAGAACCTTTTTGAAAAAACCATCATGCCAATCCTGGAGCATGAGGTCGTAGTGTTTCGGTGGTTGAAAAACAAATCCCTAACAATACCCCCCCAAACATGTAGTTTAGAACTCAACAAGCCTTTCAGATCCAAGAAGTCCAGCTGCCTTTACTCAAGCTCTTAGATTTGTTACATTCACCACAGGAAAGTTGTGCTGTTTATGTATTTGGAAGGCTAGTGTGTCAGTTTATTCAGTTCCTACCCCTGAGTAATAGAAATGTATAATCTGATTGATCAGAAATCAATGAGGCTATTTGTCTAAAAGCTGTAGGATTATCGCTAACAAATTAGTAAACCGAGTAGTTCTAGACAGTTTGGTTTGTAAACTGTATAAACAGAAAAATCCTGATAACACTTTGACTCATAATTAATTACATAATACTTTACTATAAATTGCAAATTGGTCCACTTTTGTAATTCTTTTCTTCTTCATCAGTTTAGATTTTTCAAAGTGTGGCATTTGTAGTTGGAAACTTCCCATTTTAACTCAAAAATGCTAAAGATACCTGGATTTGTGCCATGCGTCATCCATAATGTTTTAAAAAATTGTTAAAAAGTTCCATTGGGGAAGAGTGGTCCAAATGATGTATTCTGAGAGCTGTGACATAGTCATTAAATTCAAATTGGATCAAATTAGGTAAGACAGTCTCATCTTGGCCTCATCTGTTTTCATCCATTGCCCTTTTCTTGGCACTCGTATTCCCTTGACCTCTGAACGCTGCACTACGCATGACAAAATGAAATTCTGTAAATGGGTCTCTCTCCTTTTGTTTCTGTATCACAACCCAACCCAGCCCGCTCCCCCTGATCTGAATTAAACCCGCTCCGGGGGGACGTTTTCTGACGATGTTCTCCAGGGGACCCCTCCGGCTCACTTACGTAAGTTCTGAATGAGGCTGGGGCTGCGTTCACTGTCCCAGTCCCCCTCCTATAATCCGGCAGGGCTAAGTTAGGCCTGCCACGCCCCGGGGGAGGTGTTCACACTACACGGGAACCAGCATTACGTCAGACGAATTTCAGACGATCAAACTGGGCTTCTTGGAAAGTAGAACCTGCTCCATCACACTATGTTGACATCCCCAAACATCTAGGTTTTCTTTTCACGAGACATTTAATTGAAACGGTACAGCAAGTATAGTTTATACCTTTTAACTTGTTTTGACTTGAAGGTATTTTTTAATCACATGAAAAAAAACAAAAAAAAACTACAAGATGGATTCATTATTACTACACAGAGTCAACCGTTGGGGAAATATTTAATAAAAAAAAAGGTTTTATGTACAGATGGGGTAGATTATGTGAATCTAAGGTAGTTCCCAAGGACCAATCACACCTGCTCGCCCAGGTCCAAAATCCGAAACTTGTCTAGATTGTAGAAGCAGGCCTTCACGACTCGGCCCCCGAAGTAACGTCCATTTAGATCCACCACGGCTGCAAAGGAGAAAGAACAGCTGGATTAGAAACCGCTGGAAGAAAGAGAAGTGACATTTACTTACAGCACATGTGTTTTTCAGCATGTTTTTAAATTTACGCCTCAGTTTCTGTTTGAAAAGGTGATTTACTTCATGTCTCGGTATAGTTTTAACCACTTCCTCTCTTACGAACTTTGTGATAGGAGGAGATAATCGCTAAAATCTCTCAATCTCTTGGCGACGCAACGTTTCTTCGAAGTACCTTGAGAGGATTTTGCTTCTATTTGGTGCCATTTAAATCAAATTAATGCAACAAAGTATCATCTGTTTGTGTTTAAGCTTGAACCCTCTTTGTGAGGCCAAACTATTTGGTGTAAAATGTTCGTTTATCTTCCATGCGTTATTCATTTTTGGAATCTGGGTGCAAAGTGACATGGGTATCATTCTTCGGTATATTTGTGTTTTGCCCAAACATACATGTTGTCCGGCTGAGATACACAGCTGTGTGCATGTGAGCTCCAGCTTGACGACACTGAATGTCCTAGACATTGGATATTTCGCGGGGACTGTGTGGCTGATTTGAGATTCTGATTGAGGTTTTAAAATGACACGGTCGGTGCCATTCTGAGACCCGGTGGCTAAATATGGAGCTGCAGCTAAAGAAGGCTTAGCTTAACTTAGCATGAACAATGAGAAAGAAAGAGGGGTTAAGGCCATTTTTTAGAAGAAAAAAAGAAAAAAATTCCCCACCCCCACCTCCACTATTTAGACACAAACAAAGTGAAGCTTCATTTAATTTCCATGCTCGTAAAATCTGGAACAGTCTTCCTGACGACTTGAGACAGGCCTCAACTCTGACAATGTTTAAATCCAGGCTCAAAACGGTTCTGTATAACTGTGGATATGGAAACTGAATGTATTTTAATCTTTTATTTACACTGCACTAACCTTCACTTTTTATCCGTCTAATTTTCATTATTTTTATTTTCTTGTTTTTCTGCTTTTAAATTCTTTGTGAAGCACTTTGAATTGTCCTGTACAGGAAATGTGCTACACAAATAAACTTGGCTTGCCTATTGATGTATTACCATGACAGAAACTCTCCAATTAAAAAAACTGTCAGCAAAAGTTTTCATTTGAAATAGAAATACTTTGAAAAGGGTAGATGCTACTTTTATTGGCTAACAAAAAATAAATAAATAAATAAAACATAAGAGACACACGTCTCTTAGTTTTTTCGAACACAAAACAAAGCAATCCATAATAATTACAGCCCTCACACCCAACATCTGAACTGTTATGGCTGTTTATAGTGTAAACTAAAGATTAAAAATAAAAACACCACAAAAAAAATAAAAATAAATTACAAACAGATAATCCTCCATTTTAAAGGAGTGTGGTTCCTTTGACAACAACGGGGATAGACCCAGACTTGATGACTGGAAATGTAACCAGACACGAGACTGGTATCCTGGAAACATGGTTGTCAAGGATCTTTGACAATTTAAGTCTGGGAAGCGACTGAAAGTGCTGGCATTTCTTAAAATTCTTAAAGACTAACTGTGTAACCCAGTTAGTGTGAGTGGAATTGGAAAACCAGTTGTGAATTAGGGATAATGACACCAAGTCGGAAACACTGTGGATATTGGAGGACCAAGCCTTCAGGCGAGGCACTAATGGGATATAAAGGGCCAAACGTTTTTGTTACTAGTAAAACTTTAACAGATAAAAATATTCATGATTCTTCCGGACTATGTCTTTTAGACTAAACAGTGTAATTTTGTTTCTCTCAGGACGGCTTTGCTCGCTAGTTTCCTTCATTTTCTTTGCTACGTGGCAAACACAGTTAGTGGCCTCTTGTGTATCTGACAGCAAGCAGAAAAAAGAGGAATCTACAGTCTATTTCTCTATCAACGAGGTAGTTATTTTTGATTTTTGATGAAAAATGTCTGCTTAATCCAACTAGTCACCTAGATTTCTTGCCAAATCCATAACGGTGAACAAACACACAAGGAGAATTTTCCCTCCAAACTGGGAGTGCTGAGAGTTGGTTGGATTGGTGTTGTGTGGTTTACAAAAACCCCAGTATAAACATGTGAGTTGACACATTAAAGCAGTTCCCCGAGCCAGGCTGAGGAGGATAGTGCTGGGAGAATGTGCCCTGCTTCCTGTGATCTGTGATGTAAGCGCGCTTCTGCCGGTGCCGCTGGGAGACGACTGGGTTGCTGGGCCATTTTGTGATATAACACCGCAGGGAGTCTCACCTTGTTTCTGATCTGGGCCAACTCAATTAGAATGGAACACACTTTCACCCGCGTTATTGGGGCAGTTACACAATCCGATGGAGAAAAAAAAAGCGAGGCCCCGTTACGTGAAGGCGGTCTCCTATCGAACGGATGTGAGGTGTGGCGCAGGTCTCCACTGTCAAATGGACTAAATAAAAGAATAAATCCTAACCTTTAATTGCGGATTCCACCCTCTCGAACTCGAGAAATATCCTGACGGCTTCGTCATCTGGCACCTCGGCAATCTGAAAGGCAAAAAAGGATCCTTGTTGGACTTTTCTAATAGTTTTTCGATAGTTTTAGCTTGAGCTTAACTCGTCGACTGCCAAAGACGTCTATAGACGTCTTTTATGTTTTTCAACGAGAGTGGCTTGGGGGACGATCTGCTAAAGCTTGTCCGTAAATATCAGGCTTCTAGACAGAGTATGTAGTAACAAATTTACCCTCTAGGTAGCTGTGCCACTTTTGATGGGAGATGAGCATGGACTGTAGACAAATAAGAAAAAGGAAACGGTTCTATGAGAGAACATGTCGCCGGTGAGACGCACGTCGAGGAAGAACGGAATAAGGTAGAAACAATTTTTTTTTCCTGATGAAAGAAGAGAATCTACTTTCTTTTGGTGTGTTCGGTGTTTACATAGTCATAGCACAAACTATTCTGTGGCTCTTGAAAAATCAGTCAAAATGCTCAAAAAACTCTAGCAGTATGGGACTCTCTGTTCTGAAAATGGCTGGCAGTCGATGAGTTGATTTTCCACTCACCTCAAAAATAACGCATTTGACCACTTTGCCATATTTCTCGCACTCCTCTTTGGTCTCTCCTTCCAAGTCTTCGTCCACCTCTCCTCGGCCCACCATGTTCTAGGACGCAATTAAGGGGTTTGACAGTTTCTAACATCAGACTGCGACACAAGCTATTTTATTTAAGGTTAATCTTTTGCTTTCATTTAGTCATTAAATAATATAAATTATACTAGTAAACATATGCTACCCTCTGATATATTTCCCATGCTCTTATATGGTTAGACGTGCAGGGGTGGAGAGGATTGTGGAAATAAACTCTTACCCTCAGCAGAACCACTTTGGTTGGGTTTTTCAGGATCTCCGTCAGTGGGTTCATCTCAGACTTCTTGGAGTCCGCTAATTGGGCGGTTACAGGAAACAAAAGTCAAATAAAATCAAACACTTTCACAGAAACACTTTACAGACAGCAGACATGCCACATTAGGCAACCCAAGGAGTGCAACAGTAAGCAGCCCGCTATGGTTCTGTTTAACTTAGTTCTGTTCTAATACAGACGATAAAGTCAACTTTTCATCTTAAGGTCTACCAGTCATACACTTTTCTGATGTCACGCCACCTGGTAACATAACAATGCAGTTCTGGTTCTTCTCTGTTATTGTATGAAGCAAATTACACTAAATGGGTCACTCAAGCAAAGCAACGTGGTTCATCCCAGAAAAATAAAACTGGTAAAGCGGCAGGCAAACGCCACGCGCAAACAAACTATTCAAAGAAGAAGAGGAGAAAAGAGTGATGTAGTATTCACACTGAGAGGTCAAGAGGCCATTCCGTTTTGTCCAGTAATGTACATTACAAACTAAATATCCAAAAAGAGGACACAGACATACTGGCCCGTCGGAGTTGGCAGGAATTTCCACCATCATCCTAACAGAAAGGCATTTATTTTTCTTAAATATCTGCGCCGTTTGCTTTAACGGTCTGCAGTTGGAAACTAAGTGAAAAATGAAAAAGGATAGACGAGGCAAATGTCAAGCTATTGACTGCCAGAAAAAGTATTTTAAGGTAGAATATGAGAGAGAATTCCTGCTCAGAGTGGACTGGAAACAAAAAAGCAAGCCATGGAGGTGGGAAAGGAGGAAGTGGGAAGATAAGGTGCACCTAAAACCAGCTCTGTGTGGAGATAAACTACGCTTAAAGGCAGAATTCCTTCACGTGGATGTAAATTGAAAACTTTGGGCCCAACGCGACGACGGAGCACGTGTTTAAAAAACAAAACAAAAACATGCAAACCACTAAAAGCTGCGTAGCGGAGAGAGAAATGGGAGTGGAGGCCAACCTGGGAAGCCTCCGATTGAAGTCTCGGCTGCACCTGACTGGCTGGAACCTGCTGCTCAGTCGTACACAGAAAAACACACACACGCACAGAATGAAACACACACGCATGAGGTCATTGTAAAACATCTCCCTGATGCTAGCACGACACCTTGGCATCAGAGCAAAAACAGATATGGAAACAGAAAAATTCAGGGCAGATGGAGGCACTAGAAGCTTCCAGAAATGACTGAGGACTTACGCTTCTCTGCCGCGTCGCCTATGATGATCTTGCCCCCCCTCTTGCTCGTCTTCTCCACGGACAGCGCCGTGCTCAGACCCTGCTCGTGCTTCCCCAGGCCCTGGCCCTCTTTGAAACCGTACTTCTGCATGATCTTATGGGCCACCGTACCTCTGTGTGGAGGAAACAGCTTTAATGCGTCTTAATTTAAAACTGCTTTTAGGAAATGATCTAATATGGCCACGACGGCTGTTGTACAGATATTGACGTTGGTGAGTGTGCACCCCCCCCAAGCCCCTTACCCCATGTTGGCCAGGAAGGAGCTGGTGGGCCCTGGCGGCGAACGCGGTCGGTCATCGTCGTACATCGGTGGAGGGATGGCGGCCTTGGAGCCTCTGGAGGGACGCGCGTCATCGTCGTAGGAAAACGCAGCGGGACCTAAATACCAAGACAACAACAAACTCCTGTTACAATTTCACAGTGAGCTTTTTATTTGCTGTATTTTGAGTTTGGGGCACTTTTCCTAAGAGAATGCTGCCCCCTGCTGGACAAACAGCTGCTTCGCCCTGAGCCTTGACAGCATGTCTCACTAGCGAGGACGGCTTTATTCTGTGAAATTTCCTTCAGTAATCTACCCAAATAACACCCATACATAGCCAATCTTGTTTTAAAATAAATACAAATACATTCAAAGTCCATATACTCGTGAATCCATGTAATTCAGCTTCTTTTTAGTTCTTAAAATTAAACTGATAGCACCGTTAACATCTTGGAGGATTTGTGAATGTCTACTGTAGTTTCTGGTGAGATTTCTGCACTAACACGCTTAAAAAGGAAACGTCCTCATCACTTACCATCTCTGTCCACAAGAGATGAAGGAGGAGCGATGGCTGCTCCGCCCATACCTGAGCCAGGAACAAAAACCGAGAGTTACATTTTTGGCAAAATGTTAAGTAAAACATCTGTGTAAGAAAAAAGAAATCCCTCAATTTTAAGATTTCACATGCTATGACACGATGGAACGATTTTATTCTTGTAAAAGATTAGCTCTCTTAATGTCTCTTAAACAAAACCAGTCATTTTGAAGTCTGTACTTTAGCGGGACCACTGCGACATCCTATTCATTGTCTTCTTCCGAAAAAACTTTTTGTTCATCATCCTGTTTCAGGCAAGCTTTAGCCATCAGACAGATGGTTACATTTTTTACTCAATAATACTGTCCTATGGTGGACAGCAGGCCCAAATCACCAGCCCTCCACCAAAGTGCTTGACAGCTGGCACTAGGTGCTGCACTTGCTTTGCTCCAAACTGTTGGACTATATGAATTTTTAATTTAGTAATGGTAACGTGCTCATAGTTTTGTACAGTAACACCATTTAGTTGACCAATTGTAACTTCTAAATGGTCAGTCTGAGGAGCTTAAAATATTAAACTGGTCAAAGGCAGCAGCTTCTGTAGCAATAGTATGTTCACCTTCTCCCTACTCTGAAACAACAGTGGGCACAAACAATGTTAACGGCCAGCGTTTCATCTGATGTCATGTACAGTTGGTCCTGTTAGGGCTACTGTCTTTAGAGGCAAAAAAGATGAGCAGCATGAACGCAATAGTTCATATTAAAAGAAATGTAAACATTCTTATGAAGGGGACTCAAAATGAATTAAGTCTGTGTTATGTTTCCATTCCCAAAGAACTTCATGCCATGACTTATAATAAATACATTTACAAAATTGAAAGAAAGTGACGTGAGTGATGAGAAGTGACAGTTGGATGTTGTAAAGAAGAAGGCAGGTTATAAGAAATGAAGGGATACCAGCAACAATGTCCACAGTGGCAGACAAAAAAAAAGGCTTACAGCTCCTAAGTGACTGGTATTTGACCAGGATTTTTCAGGTTGTATCAATTATACCTTTTCTTGCTTGAAAAGAGTATTGAGACATTGATCATTTTATGCAAAAATAAAAAATTACAAAAAAATGAACGAAAAATGTATGATTAAGTGTATTTAGCTGCACCTGTAATCTGAAAAAAAGAGGCTAGTTGAAATTCCATTGGCTGGTAACTTTAAAAACTACCAGTAACATTGGCTGATTATCAAAAACTTCCTTCGGAGCCGTGACTTGGAATATAAAGCGTCCGTCTATATTTTTTCCAAAACGTTCTATAATGGGACTCACTTCGTTTCCTCCGCTCTTTCTCGTACTCATCATCCTCGTCCGAGTCCTCCTCTGCTGCCGGGAAACGAGAGAAACCGCTTGGGGCTCCCCCATCATGCCTATCTTTCCTCTTCCTGCAACCCAGGAAGTTACAGTTTTTCCACCAGACAATCACGTTTGAAACACATTCATGAGAAAAAATAAGACACAAACTGGTTAAGTAGCCTTGTGTGAGTTAAATAACTTCTCTGACTCCCAGGTTAAAAAACAAAGAAGCAAAGCATGGGTTACTTTTCCCTCTCTTCGATCTCCTTCTGCCGCTCCTGCTCCCTTTGCCGCTGCCGCTCCTCTCTGTGACGCTTCACCACCTTTTCGTAGTCGTTGGGGAACATGGGGTCGTACTCGTCTGCCAGCGGGATCAGGACGTCGCCGGAGGAGAAACCGGTGGGGAGTGCATCCTGGAGAAAGCAGAGGTGTCGGCGCTGAATTCTCTCCGATTCAACTCCCCCGTAAAAAAAACAGTCACTAAAAAAAGTGGTTGGCCGGTTGAGAAATAACCCGGCGTGGGTCAGACCTTGAGTCCAGTCGCGTGTGGAGGCGTGTCCGTGTTCTGTCGGTCATCACTGGAGCCTCCTCTCTTCAGGTCGATAACGGGAGCCAAAACAGTGGTCTGCTTCATCCGCTGGGTCTGCAGCCACACACACACACACACACAGAGTAATATTTATTGCATCCGATTCTATTTTTCGAGACTTTTCCTGTGTTTTGCCCTCAAAGCTGGACGTTCATTGTCAATTTTTCTCATCTTATGTCAGGTGTTTCTAGCCCTCAACAAAAGAGGTTACTTTGTATAATCATAATTGTTCCTCCTGACCAGTTCAATTGGAGTAAAACATCCTAAATAAAAAGATGCCTGCAGCGGACTGAAGTTTGTGTGCAGGACAGATGTTAACACCTGACAAGTTTCCTGATACTGAGCTGTGCCTTTAGCTCCACACAAAATGAATGTACAAATGCAATGGTTTTAAGCCAGGAGAAGTTCCATCCATCCATCCATTATCAATACCGCTTATTCCCTCATGGGGTCGCGGGGGGAACTGGAGCCTATCCCAGTGGTCAACGGGCGAGAGGCAGGGTAAACCCTGGACAGTCCGCCAGTCCATCGCAGGGCCACACACAGGACATACAAGGACAAACAACCACTCACACTCACATTCACTCCTAAGGGCAATTTCCCCAATCTCCAATCAGCCTAACATGCAGGTTTTTGGACTGTGGGAGGAAGCCGGAGAACCCGGAGAGAACCCACGCAGACACAGGGAGAACATGCAAACTCCACCCAGAAAGGTCCTGGTTCCCCCGGGATTCGAACCCAGAACCCTCTTGCTGGGAGGCGACAGTGCTAACCACCACACCACCGTGCCGCCATGCCAGGAGAAGTTGTCGAACTTAATTCTGGTAGTCTGCTAAACGGTTAGTGCCGACATCTCTTTTACAAACGACATCTTTCTTTCAAACTTCAGCCATAAAACAATAATCGTGGATAGAAAACACAACACTTAAATTGTTTGCCAAAGGAGAGGGAATTTAACCATTTCACCATTCTCAGCAGGGTCATTTATTTTCGTGTGAAAGAGTCAAATGTTTGGACTTTTATTATGACTTTACCCACTGACTGACCAATGGGGCAAGTTCTGGTCTGCAGAGCTGTCTGTGTTGTGCCTTTTTCCGGTTCGTTTTGACATCATACTGGTGTAGAGCTTACCTTGGCCTGGGTCAGAGCAGCCTTCTTCACCTTCAGCTGGGACTGCAGCAGCTTGAAGTTCTTGGACCAGCCCTCGGTTTTTGTGTCGCTGGCACCCACACCGAGGTCATCGTAGAGAGACATTGCAACGCGTCAGTTCTCCTGTTACCCACCAAAAAACAAAACGAGGCAAGGTTTCATTTTTCATTCAGCGGTCCACAAGCTCTGCACACATCTCCTTGGTCAGACAGACATGTTTAAAACAACACAAGAGCTTAGGTGCCAATTCGGTTTGAACTGTCCGTACTATTTGGGGTTACAAACGCAACAGAGAAACAGCCCAGCTAACTACTGCCGTTAGCTAACATATGCTAAGGCTAACTTAGCTGCTCAACAATGTCCTCCTTAAGAATTAAAAAAAACCTTTCGGATACTCTAGCTTAACCTCAACCTGTCAGTGATAAAAAATTATAAACTAACATTCATTTGAGTGTGTCTAAATCAAGGTTTAAAAAGGTTTCATGGCTTATTTCACACACCTCTACTCTTCCAAAAGCGTGATGATAACAAACTATGCGCGACAATCAACAACAGTTTCCGGCTCTTGGCTCTAGCGCCATCTAGAGCGAACAATACTTCTTCCGGTGTTTAGAAAGAAAAAGTTAAAAAAACTCATACCAATATACGTATATATAAAATGAAAACGAAAGTTGGGGGCAGTCTCGGTACGCTTTCAAGTTACGATGGTCTCAACTGGATTTGGTGTACTCAGCGACTATGTTTTACGTGAACACGGAGTTGTGAGATGAATCGAAAATGTACCCCCTCATTTTTCATCCTAATTTTTGTTTATCTGCTCGGGTCTGCGCGAGTCTGGAGCGTCGGTAAGAGCAAAAACAAAACAAAAAACTAATCTTTTTTCACTAAAATAAACACAGTCATATGGGAAAGTGTTTATTTGATCAGTGAAAAAGAATTATCAATATAAACTTTGCACAAAACATTCAACTGTGACTATTTTAAATTGCGTAAATTATAATTCTACTTTTATTCCCTTTGCATTTGAAAATATATTTCTGGGATTGTAATAATATCCTGTGTAAAGGATCAATGATGTATCAGAAAACGTAGATAAACTGGATTATCATAGTAAGAACCAATAATGACACATTTCAATCTATTTTGTGTCAGAATTAAATCCCAAAGTAATGGCAATATCAAAACAATCATTTTGAGACAACCGTTCCACCTGATTCCCAAGGAAAAAATTGAATAAATCCATGAAAGACGGGACTGGGGTTATGGAGCCCTGCTTTAATTCTGACATGTTCGTTTAATTTCAGGTGGCTGTGAGTGTCCAGAAATCCCTCACAGAAATTTGACTCAACCTCCACCTAAAAACTGCTTCAACACAACTGGCTGGTTCCGCTACAGCTGCTGTGAAGGCTACGTGAGGAAAGCAGGAACATCAAATCTAATCAAATGCAAGAAAGACAAGGATGTTGCGTATTGGACCCCATCTTCTCTGGAATGCATACGTAAGAACTCTGTACTCTTTGGATAAAACTAACAAAAGTGAGAAGTTCTTCATTGAGAGATCATCGAATTTGTTATGCATTAAGCATAGATGCATAAAGAGACTGTCCGGAGCTGGACAGCATACAGTGAATAGTTACCGTGCATGTGACACCCCCCCTTTGCTGTGTTATCAATCTTAGTCCATAGAAATAAGCAATTACGATAAGTTAATCATTCGATTTGGAAGTTGAATATTAAATCGCTGTCACTTACTGTGTTGCAGCTCACCCACATAAAACACAACTTGAAAAGAGGCTCATGGGTAAGTATCTGTTTTTTTAATCTAAATTAATTAAAACAATGCTAGCGAATGATCTGTTGCGTTCAAGGTGAGGTCTGTAGGAACTTATACTTTAGACAGATAGATAGATAGATAGATAGATAGATAGATAGATAGATAGATAGA